AGGGATGCAGTGCTTAGATTTCTGATCATTCTGGCTGCAGTATAGAATACAGCCTACAGGGGGAGACAGAGCAGAGGATGAAGATCCACACAGTTTCAAGGGCCACACCAAGGACAAGAAGCAAGGCTACTTGGTTGGAAAAACATTTAGGAAGTAGAAACAAAAGAACCCAGTGACTGATTATATACTAATAGAAGTAGGTAGGATGGTTAAGAGAAGGGAAACTTGAGAATGATTCCCAGAACTTTCTATGACAGGTTGTCTAGTATAAAAGTGAAAACATAATCTCTGAAATCAAACTCCTTGAATTCAAATTCTACCTCTTCCACTCATTTACTATGTGACTTTGGACTATTTATCCTCACTGAAATTCAATTAAGTAAAAACATCAAGTGATCTTAGAAGAGTATTCCTCTCTGCGTCTAACAATAACTATTACTATTATAATTCAGTTTGTTTTAAAAGTTGAAATGTTATATTTGAAGTGCTTGACGGCACTTAACAACAACAACAACATAGAGCATTCTAGGTTTGAATAGTTGGATACATGAATCCTGTGTTGAGTATAGGGATAGAGTCTTGTGTACAGATGGAATTGCCTAGGAAATAGTTGGGAAAAGAGGCTAGGGTTAGAGTCTACAGGATACAAATGTTTAACAGGTAGACAACAAACACCACACAGCCTTTGGTCAAGTCAATTTGGACTCACAGTGACCCTATCAGGCAGTGTAGAACAACTCCATAGGGTCTTGGAGGCTGCAAATACCTACAGCAGCAGACAGCCTCAACTTCTCCCAAAGAATGGCTGGTGGGTTTGAACTGCCAACCTTGAAGTTAGCAAGTCCAATATGTAACCCATTATGCAACTAGGGCCTAGTGTAGAGGTATCTAAGAAGGCCAGAGAGGTAGTATTTGAAAAACAAAAGCGCAATATCTAAACACCAAGAAAAGGAAGAGTTCTAGAAAGGGTATAGAAAATGCTAGAGACAAGTCAGGTCTGAGCAATGAAAGCAACTATTATATTTAACAAAAAGGAAATCTTTAATAAAGCAATTTAAATGTTCTGTAAGTATTCTGCATATAGAAAACACTCAAATTATTATTTCCATTGTCCATAGTTTTAAATTCATTTCTAGATCAAGATAAGAAAGAAAAACAACTGCTTGATAGAACCATATAAGCTTAGAATATTTATGTCAAAAACACATTGAGTTCAACATTTTCATATAACTCAACTATGCTGAGTTCCTGAAAAGCTCTCCAAAACTCAGTAGAGTAAAAAAAGTATTTGTTCTCTTTGTGTAATGATGTAAATATAAAAAGTACCCCTTCCTTATTCTAATTTCCCTAAAGAAATGCCACCAATAATGATCGTCAATATTACATTCGTGCAAATAGAAGTTGTTGTTGTTGTTGTTAAGTGCCGTTGAGTTGGTTCCGACCCATAGCAACCCTGTGCAGGGTTTCCGAGGTTGTAAATCTTTACGGGAGCAGAAAGCCTCATCTTTCTCCTGCGGAGCCGCTGCTTCAAACTGCTGACCTTGCGGTTCACAACCCGATTCGTAACCACTACGCTACCAGAGCTAAATGCTTTTCTTACTCCCTACTGTAGTTATTTTTCTTGCCATTTTGGCTTTGAGTCTAAAAACTGCAGGGATGAAACCTGAATGCAAAAGAAATTTGAAGAGAAGGATATTTGTACCTTTCCAAAGAAATGTCTTCTGTTTCTAATAACATTGGTGTTATGAAAAGTCTGGTTATTTTGGCAGTGTAGACATAAAATATAAAACATTGAGTATGTTAGCTTTGGAATCAAGTCCTGACTCTATCATTTATCAGGTATATGTTGTTGTTGTTGTTGTTGTTAATGGCATGGAGTTGATTTTGACTCATAGCAACCTTGTACTAGGTGTCCAAGACTTTAAATCTTTTGTGGAAGCAGAAAGCCTTATCTTTCTCTTGTGGAGTGGTTGGTGGGTTCAAACCACCAACCTTGTGGTCTGTAGTCCGGTGGTTATCTTTACAGGGCCAATGCACTCCCTACCTAGTATGAAGTCCAGGGAAACTTACTCTCAAAGCCTTTATTTTCTCTATGTAAATGGAAGACGTGACTGCTTTCTTTCAAAATTTTGTTAAGGAAATGACTATTCTAGGTGGTGTAAATAGTTAAGCTCTTGACTACTAGCTGAAAAGTTGGTATTTGCACCCACCCAGAGGGTTCTGGTGTGGCGCTACAGGTTAATGCGCTAGACTGCAAAGCCAGTTTGAACTGCAAGGTTGGTGGTTCAAGCTCACAAGTCTCTTCTTGGAAACCCTCTAGATGGTCACTATGGGTCGGAACCGACTCGACAGCATTTAACAACAACAGAGGTGCATGAGAAGCCAGGTCTGGCAATCTGTTTCTGAAAATTTACAATCTTTAAAATGCTATGAACAATTTTAATCTGTACACATGGGGTCAAGGAGCTCTGGTAGGGTAGTGGTTACGAATCAGGCACCAAGCTGCAACGTCAGCAGTTCGAAATTACCAGCTGTTCCGTGGGAGAAAGATTAGGCTTTCTGCTCCAGTAAAGATTTATAGCCTTGGAAAACCTGTACAGGGTCACTATGAGTCGGAATTGACTCCACGGCATATAACAACAACAACACATGGGGTCACCGTGAGTAAAAATCAGTTCAATGACAACAACAATAAGGTAAAATAACATATGTAAGAGGCTTAGCACAGTGCCTTTATAATAAATGGTAAATCAAAAGGACCAAAAAACCTACTGGCATCAATCAAGTCAGTTCTTCTGAGACTGTAAATCTTTACAGGATCAGAAAGCCTCATCATTGTCACTCCACCAACGTTACTGTTAGCATCCCAACAGCTACCAGGGCTCCTAGCTGATGGTGCGTCACTGTTTAACTTTCTATAATAGATTACCATTACAAAGTTTGGTGATTAGCAGTAGTGGTGTGCCATCGAAGGGGTTCCAACTCATAGCCACCCTGTATAGGGGGTCTGAGGCTATAAATTTTTATGGGAGCAGAGAGTCTTATGTTTCTCCCAAGGAGCAACAGGTAGATTCAAACTGCTGACCTTGTGGTTACCAGGCCAGCTCATAGTCCACTACACTACCAAGACTTCTTTACAAAGCTGAAGAGAATTGCGTTTAAAAGAGGTGGTACTTTTAAGACTGGTCTTTTCATACATGAACAAAAACTCTTAGTTTTGTTTATTCACTGCTGGTTGCGTAGTGGTTATGAATCGGGCTGCGAACCTTAAGGTCAGCGGTTTGAAACTACCAGCCGCTCCGCGGGAGAAAGATGAGGCTTTCTACTCCTGTAAAATGAGAGATTTACACCCTCGGAAACCCTGTACAGGGTCGCTATGGGTTGGAACCGACTCGACGGCACTTAACAACAACAACAACAGGTCTTACAAGAAGACCAGCAACCAGATCCATAGTTTCCCACCAAGACTCAATGACTGTATAAGCATTGTGCTTCTTGTCAGGGGCTGACTATTGTGTTTCTTTATAACCAATGAAACGCATGATTCAGAAAACAAGTATTTCAAAATGGATACACAAATAAAAGCTATACATTTAATTACCAAAGACATGAATGATATCAATAATGATGTATCTAAGGTAACTTAATCCTGTCTTAAATTCCTTTATTAACCTGGCAAGTTCAAAAGTTGAAAAAAAAATTTTTTTAAATACATAAAATTCATTCATTTTACATTCAATTTAAGCAAAGAAAGTTTGAAACCTAAGTTGAAACTATTTGGTGAAAACAGCCTTCTAACTTCATCACCTAAGCTGTAAAGCACTTGTGGTATTTAATTTTGATTTTAAAATTAAATAAAAACAAAGCTAAAAAACAAGACCAAACCTGTTATTTACTTTGCATTTTTTCTAAAATATTACTATACATTACTATTAGCAAAACGGTCATTAAAAATGTAATGCAAGGACTAATTCAGTGAAATGGAATTCCATAAAGAATGATAGTATTGGGGATCCTAAAGCAAAGCTGCTAGGGCAGATGTTCCTAATTATACTAAAAACACAAATACTTACACAAACCAGTTGGTTCCAGCTACAGAATAATTCAATTAAAAGAGTGCTTATAAGTTAACAGTATGAGACTGCAGAGAAATAAAAACTTACAGAGTTTGTTGCAAGGAAACTGTTCTATATTTTCAAGGGTGAAAACTCCATTTTTTTTCCTTACTACAAGTAGAAAATTGTTACCTGAATCAGTCTAAACAACAATAACTATGCCTTTAAGGAAAATACATAGCCACACATCCATGCACACACACACATATACACACATTTGTTAGCTAGCTATCATCAAGGGAAGCATCTATCTAAACCCAGAATATCATTTGGAATATACTTTGAGAAAATTAGAATCAGAGTCCTTACCAGCTAAAATGTTGTTGAGAAGTAGATGCAGTAGGTAATGTGATACAGAAATAAATCAGTATGCACAGTAAAATACAAGCTCTATGGACATATGGGATTCTCTTTGCAAATAATGATCTTGGCAAAGAGCCTCTTTTATGTACAGAAAGGTCTGTTCCTTGCTTATAGCAACTCTCAAGGCTAAAACAGGTAATTGTGTGCTACTAATTAGCTTTACAAAAGATGGTGTGCTCATGCCAGAAGACACTTTATCGCTTGATTCAGCGAAAGTAGAAAACTATGTCAGCAAGGTCAAGCTATAAAAATGCATTTTTATCCCTCAATTGCTGATTAACCTTAACTCGAATTCTAAAGTTGCAAATATGTAAAGCCATTCAAAAATCCATTCAATGTTCAATGGCTATCAACAACAGAAATGAGAGAGACATTAGGAAAACTTCCCTACATAGATATCCAATGTGCTTATTTCTGTAGCTAACTAAATATTCATTTCATTAAACTGTTATAATACACTCCCAAGAAAGCAGAGTGACATCTATTCTGCATGTAACAGGAAAATCAAACACAGTACATTACCTTGTGTCACCTGTTGAACTCCCAACATTATTCCAGACACAGCGTCTGGAAGCAGGTTCTCTTTCAGATTATACTGTGGTGCCCATTCCAAAACAGGTAGCCGCCTTCTACACCACTTTTTAATGTCTTCACAATGGGGGGCATACATCTTGCTCCAGGACACACTTTTCTTTTTCCTCTTTGCCCCTGTCATTTCTCAGCTTTTCTCTAGTTGAAGTAAACTTCTTAAAAAAAAAAAAAAAAAGTTGGAAAACACCTCCTTTCAATGCCAGTCTCCAGTTCTTCTGTGGTTCACAGTATCAAAGCTATCCAGAAAATAAATAACTAAAAGAGAGGAGAGAAGGGAGAGAGAGAGAGAGCGAGATTAACAGAAAAATTTAAATACATGCAGCTGGGCTGTGTGTCTTGTTATGGTGTAGGTAATTATTGTAGATCTTTTTAAAATTATATTAAAACCTTGGTCTCTGATCTGAATGAAATGAAGGAAGGGTTCCTGTTATCGTAATACTTCCTGATCTTGAAAAAGTAATGGGTTTAGTCCTAAATTGGTCTAGAGCTGTTTTGCCAGTAATTCCCCTTTATATTCACTGTAGTCTTATGCTTTTGGCTCCAATCCCAATGGTTAATGAGGTAGTTCTGGGCGTGTGTTGGAAGTGGGCTGGGTTATGCTAATGCAGCAGGAAGTGCTCAGCTAGTCCAGTCTCTCCCTATGCAAAACCAAAAAACTGCCGGAGCAAGACGTCTGTCTTGCAAAATACAGTCAGAAGATCCAGCTTGACTTCTTTGAGAAATATCTATTTTCAATATATCAGATAACTTCCAGTCCCACAAAATTCAGAAACATGATAAGGCACTGCTAAAAGTTCTTATTGTTTTTATTCCTAGCTGACTGAGGTTTTTCATTCATACAGAAACATTATAATAGCCAGACGACAGCCCAGTCTGGGGAAAAAAAATAGCCAGTTCTTATAAATTAACTGAAATGCCATCTACAGACTTAGAAAAGAATCATCACAATAAGCAACTATTTGGGGTTAGAGTTCTTACTTGTTTCTGGAACTATTCATTCAATTTTGTTTCTCTAAATCATATAATCCACACACATAATAACTCAATGGGTACAAACATGTGTTTAAGAAACGTTCAACTGTTATGTTTTTATTTATTTGTTGACACTGGTCTTCTTTCACATAACTTGGAGGGAGTTTCTCTTTTCTAGAAGGGGTGTTACATTTTATAACAGAACAGAAAATCTGTCAAAAGTTTTTTGTTTTATTAGTTTTTCCATTTTTGTCCCAGAAGAAAAAGCCTGTATTTATGACTTGTATCATTGGAAGTAAGTAAAAAAAATGAAAAAAGAAAAGAAAAAAAAAAAAGAATGTATTCACTAAAAATACGAAGCCAGGAAAAGAATGCCATGTATGTAGTTCACCCCGTTTAAATGCCCATTTGTCCAGACAGTTAAAATTTGATTTCTGGAAGCCTTCCGAATAACCAAGTACTTGGATCCCTTGACTACTTCTAAGAGTCCCTGCTGTACCTTTCCCTTTGATTTTAAATTTATTTTCAACCTTCCAAAGATGACATCACTAATTTCAACCTGTGCAAAAATACCTTTCCTTTTAAATGAATTCATCTTAACCATCCATATGTAGCTATATATGTAGTCATTATTCTTATCTATAGAATATAACTTGCTTTGTATTTTTCCAGTTGCTTACATTATTTAAAAATTTCAAACTCTAATAATTCAGATTTTGGGTCTTTAAAGAAAGAAAAAAAAAAAGGAGTTTCCAGCTAGTTGATTTCATCTCAGGGAGATTCCATGTGTTGCAGAGTAGAATTACATTCCCCAGGGTTTTCAAGGATGTGAACTTTAGGAAGCAAATTACAGTCCTTTCTTCTGAGGTTCATTTTGAGGATTCCAACTACCAGACTTTCTGTTAGCTATTGCTGTCAGGTCCAATCCAGATAGTTCAGACTCACAGGGACCCTATGTCCAACAGAAGGAAACACTGCCCAGGCCCGTGCCATCCTCACAATAGTTATGTGTGCATTGTTGCTGCCACTGTGCCAGTTCATCTTGTTGGGAGGCTCTTTTTTGGTGCTGATCCTAGATTGATTTACCAAGCATGATGTCCTTCTCCAGGGACTGGTGAATCCATCCTGGCAACATGTCCAAAGTACTAGAGATGAAGTCTCACCATTCTCGTTTCAAAGGAGAATTCTGGCTTTACTTCTTCCAAATCAGATTTGTTTGCTCTTCTGACAGTTCGTGGCATTTTCAATAGTCTTTCTCAAAACCATAATTCAAATGCATCAATTCGTCTACAGTCTTCCTTATTCACTGTCCAACTTTCACATGCTTATACAGCATTTGAAAATAACTAATGATCTTTAAATTGACATCTTTGCTCTTTAACCCTTTAAAGAAGTCTTTTATAGTAGATTTGCCTAATGTAATATGTCTTTTCAATTCTTGACTTCTGCTTCCATGAGTGTGGATTATGGATCCAAGCAAAATGAAGTCTTTTGACAACTGAGTTTTCATGACAACTGAGTTTTCTATTTATCATGATGTTATCTTTGGTCCAGTTGTGTGTGAGTACTTTTGTTTTCTTTAAATTGAAGTGTAATCTGTACTGAAGGCTATACTCTTTGCTTTTCATCATTTAGTAGTCAAGTGCTTAACTGTTTGCACCACCAGGACAAATAGCTATAGATAGAATCTTTATAGATAGAACCCCATTTAGTAATTGCTGTTTAATCTTGTTCTCTTAGTAGAAGTGGACTCACCAGATAAATGAAAATCTACTTTTAATAAGGATCCTGGACCACAAGACCAGTTTGAACTGCAAATGTTGGCAGTTCAAATCCACCTGCCACTCTTAGAACCCTATATAGCACAGCTATGAGTCAGACTCGATGCAACGACACTAAACAACAACACTTTTAATAAACATGTTATGTTGCTTTTCCTTCACAAACAACAATCTAACTTTGGTTCATATGCAACATCATGAGTGTGCGGATTGTATAATAAGTATGTATTATTTCCTAATCAAAATAAAACTAAACATAATTTTTAAAAGACATCTAAGTTATAAATTTACAATTGAATGTTTGACTAAAATCTCTAATCAACAGACAGCTATTATTTGTGCACTTTCAAACATTTAACAACAGAACAAAACAATTGTATTAAATATTAGTAAGAAGGAATTGACGTGAACAGGATTTCAGAAGTTAAGTCAATATAGTCCATTGTGATTGAGTGATTCCAGCTGATCATGACAGCACAGGGCAGGCTAGACTACCCCATAGGGTTCCTAAACCTGTAATCTGTATGGAAGCAGACTGATCTGTCTCCTACAGAGTGGCTGCTAGGTTTGAACTGCTGATTTTATTTAGCAGATGAGTGCTTAATCACTGTACCACTAGTACTTCTTTGAATCTATATGTTGTTGTTATTGTTAAGTGCCATCAAGTTGGTTCTGACTCATAGTGACCTTTGTATAGGGTTTCTGAGGAACTGCTGATGGGTTTGAACCACCAAATTTTCAATTGGCAGTTTAGTGCTTATTCTACAACACCACATAAAGACTCTGAATTTGTATGGTAGTTATGTGCCATCCAATCAGTTCCAAGCCATAATGCCCCTGAATAGGATTTCCGAGGGTGTAAATCTTTATGGGAGCAGAATGCCTCATCTTTCTCCCAAGGAGTGACTGGTAGATTTGAACTGCTGACCTTGCAGTTAGCAATCCAACCAGTATATTGTTGCAGTTAAGTGCTGTGGAGTTGGTATCAACTCATAGCGACACTGTATAGGGTTTCTGAGACTACAAATCTTTGCAGGAGTAGAAAGCCTCATCTTTCTCCCTCCCCAATCTATGTTGTTATTAATTGTCATTATGTCCGTTTTCAACTGATAGTGACCCTGTATATTTCAGAGGTTTCAGAGGAGCAGCTGGGGAATTTGAATAACCAACCTTGCAGTTCAAACCAACTCTGTGGTCCACTGCTTTATCTTACAGTGCCTCACAAAGACTCCCCATTATGTAAGTCATTGTTGTTGTTAAGTGCTGTCTAGTCAATTCTGATTCATAGCAACCTTTGTTGTTCAAATCGGCCTTTCAGTCTAGTGCTAGATCCCACATTGCACACCAGGATTCCCCCAATATGTATTTTGTTGTTGTTGTTAAGTGCCATAGAGTCTATTCCAACCCATAGCAACCGTGTATAGGGTTTCCAAGGAGTGGCTGGTGAGCTTGAATCTCCAACCTTGCGATTCAAATGACTTTGCAATCTGGTACATTAACCCACAGTGCCACACCGGGACTCCACAGTATGTATAGACGTACCTAAAATTACATTATGCCAGAAACTATTCTCAAGCATTCTATAACAAGGAGAGAGGAGAAATTAGTTTTGCAGTGCCTCAACAAAAAATTCCTAAATATTAGAATAAGTTTTAAGAATCTTACATTTAAATTTGAAAAATTCAAATTCCAGATGTTTCTCCCAACTCCATGTGCTCATCCATTAAATAACATAAATAAATTAAACATGCCAAAATCTCACGCCAGCGCATAGTATCACTACTACTTTTAATCAGCAAAATGAAAAATGAAAAAATATATTTAGGCACCTGAGATTCTCAGACTACTTTGACCACTTCATAAAATTCAAGGCAGCTAAATAAATTTATTCAAAAGTTTCAATGACTAAAATTAAAGTTCAGTATTAGGTATCATTTATAGAAAACATTTCTATCCAAATGTCCAGGTAGCCCCTGTACAAACCAAAATAAAATTATCTTCCACCTCACATGTAGAAAATCCTTCTATATATAACACATCATTTTGATCACATCATTTAAGTGTTTAAACAGCCATTTGTCTCCAATATCAAGAAAATTTATTTGCATAAGCACTGTGACCCTTCTACAGTGTGTATCTGACTAAATTCCAATTGATCCAGGACACAGAAAACTATATCATCAGAGAAGGCAAGAGAAGGTAAGAAGCAACAACAGAGAAATGGTAACAGCAAAACCAAGACACCAGCACAACACAGAGTTGTGGGCTTATTAGCCCACGGAGCTAGAAACCTGAGTGTTCAGGCAGGAAGCTGATTGGTAGAGTGGTGTGCCTCAGATCACTTAGTGCTCAGAACCCAAAGAGCTTTGTAACCCTTGCCTGAGCAAGATGGGGACCATGCTGAATGACCAAAGGTTGGAGAAGTTTGGGCCTGAGGACATACATGGCTGACAGGAGGCTGTCCTGATTGAAGAACTGTATCC